AACCCTAAACCTTAAACCCTAAACTCTAAACCCTAAATATCCCTAAATCCTAAACCCTAATCCCTATAAACCCTAAACCCTAAACCCTAACCCCTAAACCTTAAACCCTAAACCCTAAATCCTCAACCCTAAACCTTAAACCCTAAACCCCCAAACCCCGAAACCCCCCCTATTTAAACCCTAAACCCTGAGGGTTCAGGGTCTACGGTTTAGGGTTCAGGGTCTAAAGGGTTTTGAGAGTCTAGGGTTCACGGTTTAGGGTTTAGGGTTTAAGGTTTAGGGTGTAGGGTTTTGAGTTTCAGGTTTAAGGGGTTTTGGGGTTCAGGGCTTCTGGGTTTAGGGCTCGGGTTTCAAATTCTAGGCTTCGGCGGTATGCCAATTACAGCGACCTAAAGGTCATTTCCATGTAAACCCTGAATCACTAGATCATCAAGTTATACATCCACACGCAGAGATAGAACTATATAGTAAATACACATATACAGCCCATGACATGGTCGCTATCTTTGGGCCTGTCAGCTCAAGAACCCCCTCCACGGGTGGAGAAGGGAGATGTGTAAGAGCCCGGCCCAAACATAGATCAGAATCAGAAACACGCCGAAGGAGTCGATGTGCATCCTTCGAATCTCACTTCTGCGGCTTCCGGGTGGTTCTTCGGATGACAAGATCTGCTAAATGTAGCTATTCTTCTGGAATTTCGGGCCTTTGGGCTTGGGCTTTGGAGATCTACCAATAGTCTCCATTGTAGTTCCTTTTTTTGGTTTGACCATTTCCATAATTAGGATCCTAGAATGTAACCCGAAAAAGGAACTACAATGGAGACTATAGGTACCCTTCCCGGCACCCATGGCAAGAATGCAGCACCTGGGGTTTAGGCTTAGAGCCGTCCTTTGCCGGCACCCGCCCAGCAGCCAACCCAGGCCACAAACATCGAACCGATAATGTAGGGGCCTGAGTAATTAGAATAGGGTTCTGGGCTCCTTTAGAGTATAACAAGTATACTAAGGAACCCCCAAAATAATACAGGTAATTATTTAGGCCCCTATAGCAAACCCTGAATCGTAGGGCCTGCATCCCCCACCCTCCAGCACCTGAAACCTGAACCACTGACAACAGACAGTCCTGTGAAGAGAAACCGGTGCACGCCTTATGGGTTTAGGGTTTAGGGTTTAGGGCGTGGCGTGCTGGGATTTAGACTTTGGGCGGGGGCGGGGGGGCCTTGGCGGGGTCGGTACGTGGGGCGGGTGGGAGGGGAAGGGGGAGCAGTGCTGCGCACTGAGCTTTGACTGCTTAGCATTCCGCAAAACCCTGTAAGATGCTAGGACAACCCCAAATTTCTGAAGACAGGCTCTTCAGAAATCGCATTACGCTTGTGACCTGCTATGTATAACATAGCTTCTAAGCCCTTGAACAGGTTTACCCTGCACAGCTTACCCTAAACCCTAAACCCTACAACCTTACAGTACGGCAGCAAACAAGACAAAACAAACACACACACACACATTCAAATCAAGCGCAAGTAAAAGCCGGTGGTCTGGCGATCTATAAACTGTCCATGTATCCATCTATCTATCTACTTGTCTATCTATCTACCTATCTATCTATCTATCTATCTATCTATATCTATCTATCTATCTATCTATCTATCTATCTATCTAGCTCTTCTGCTAATTGAACTAAACGAAGTTTGAGCCATGAAGCCTTAACCATAAACGCCGAAATGCATGTTAAAATAATTCTGCCAGACTCCTCTTCCCCTCCGCGGGGGCTTCTTGTGGCCAGCCCGCAGACACCGCACCTAGGCTTAGGATTCCGCAGGCTTCGTCTGGACCTGAATTCAGCTTCCGTGTTGGATCGGTTTGTTACTAAGGACTTTAGGAGGGACCCCTAATAGGGGCCCTTAATCCCATTACCTTAAATAACCATTGTATAGTCCTTAAATACCCCTTATATAGCCAGGTAGTCTCCATATTAACCCCAATAACCTACAAGGGTCCCTATTAAGGATCCTTCCTAAAGCCCTCAGATGGTTCATCCTCGGGACCAATGCACATCGAACGAAAGAACCACATTGAGGCGTGCTTGGACACCCAGACCGAAGTCGCGCACCCAGCAAGGGTTTAGGGTTTAGGGTTTAGGGTTTAGGGTTTGGGGCACCCAGCAAGCTAACTGTACAGAGCTGCGATTTGTCACCAAGCAAGTCCTTAGGGACGAAATCAACCCTAAAAGGGCTTAAGGTTCATATACCATACAGGGATTCATAGTGCATGGGAATAAGGCCTCTACTTTTAAGGGTCACCCCTGAACCCTAAACCCTAAAACCCTGGCCTGAAACCCGAAGCCTGAAACCCTAAACCGTAAACCTGAGAGCCTAATATTGTACTACCTGGACCCCAAAAGTACCTCCAAGATAGTTTAGGTAATTCTTTAGGGTTTAACACCTTACGGCTCGGCTCGTGCTGCAGAGACACCTTCGGTTTAGGGTTCAAGGGCCCTAAACCCAAAGCCCTAAACCCTAAACCCGACACGGCGCAAGCCAACAGCAAGAGCAACAACTTGCACTTTTGGGTCGTAGAGGTTGGTGTCTGGGTGCTGAGGGCTTGAGGAGAAGCCTAAACCATCAACTCAAACCTTAAACCCTAAAGACCTCAGACCCAAATCTTCAACCCGCAACTTCATAAAGACAACTAGGGTTTAGGGTTTAGCGGTTTAGGGGTTTAGGGTTTGGGGTTTAGGGAAAGTTTAGGGATCTGGTCGTTGGGGCTCATATTAGCCTGTTACTTTTAACTTTTAACCCTAAATTCGAGGATTCTGTGAGGCACTTGGACCCCTAAACCCCTAAATCGTCTGAGGCTCGCACCCACGAAGAGCAGAAGCAGTCCGCACCACTTCCTCGCTCCCATCTCGCGACCGAACACCCACCTCGGAGAGATCTTCTGCACGGTTTAGGGTTTAGGGTTTAGGGTCAAGGATTCAGGGTGCTTTGCAATGATAAAGATATGGAACTGGTCGGGCTTTCTAAGAGATTTCTCAGGCTTCACAAGGGTTTCGGTGTGTATTTACAGACTCTTCTGACTTAGCATGTAACGGTAGTAAGATGGATGAGGTGACGATTGCTCGGGCTATTGGCTAAGACATGAACAACCTGTGGTTCCTTTTTTGGCTGAGCCATTTTTATGATTAGGATCCTAGAAGATAACCCAAAAAAGGAACTACGGCGGAGACTTTAGGTAGACTTGCTAAGTCGTAAGAGCCTCCAAGTAGAGCCTCAAAGACTCTTCTAGGCTGAGTCTAGGACATTTTCAGGTGGGTAGTTGCCGTTATAGGAGCCTTATAGGGTTTAGGGTTTAGGGTTGAGGGTTTAAGGTTTAGGGTTTAGGGTTTAGGGTTTAGGGGTAGAAGGTCTATATATACCTTATGGAAGCCTTCTAGAAGCCCTATATACCCTAAACTCCCCACCTGTAGTTTCCTTTAACTTAGGGCTTAGGCAGGGATTGCCAAACATGGTCCAACCAAGGCGCCTTAGGACTGGAGCAGAGCTCCGGGTGGGAACGTCTGTTACGACTTAGGGTCTAGGGTTTAGGGTCTAGGGTTAATGGTCTGGGGCTCAGAGTCTAGGATTTATAGGGTGGGTGTCGGGTCTAGCGTTTAGGGTTCAGGGTCTAGGGTTTAGGGTCTAGGGTTCAGGGTTTTACGGTTACCCTTAGCCCTAAAGCCTAATACTCTACTAAAATAGGGATTGCACACGAAGCTCTTCTTACATCATAGGGCCCGCGTCAGGCATCCGGAGTCCTGCAACCCTTACGTGAAAGCAATCCAAACCCAGAGGGTTAAGAGCTTGGGGTTTAGGGCTTTGGGGGTCTAGGGTGTAGGGTCTAGGGTTTAGGGTTTGAGGTCTAGGTTTTGGGGTCTCGGGTTAGGGTTGAGCGTCTAGGGTTTAGGGTTTGGGGTTTTGGGGTCTAGGGTTTAAGGTCTAGGGCCTAGGGTTTAGAGAACCCTCTCCAGTAAAACTCCCTTAACTGAAGCCCAAATTCCTGAATTAAAGCGTGTAGGGGCTTGTCTACAAAGGATTCGGCTTGGGTGAATGTGTTTAGATGCCGATTTGAAGAGGAGTCGGGTAAGGGATAGGGTAGGGCTGTTCCAAACTCGGCTCCCCAATAGCTACCGCTCAACCCTGAACCCCACACCCAACCAAGCCTGAACCCTGAAATCCAGTCCCCCTTGCTACCAATAGGGTCCTAAGTACCTATATGGGGGATACTTGCCCAAACCACAATACTAATACGGTTGATGATATAAATCCTGCATTCCCCATGGTAAGGAATATGCAAGAACTCCTGTGTGTATATATATATATATATTATAGATAGATAGATAGATAGATAGATAGATAGATAGATCGGTAGATAGGTAGATAGATAGATAGATAGATAAATAGATAGATAGTAGATATTAGATAGATAGATAGATAGATAGATAGATAGATAGATAGATAGGTAGGTAGATAGGTAGGTCGATAGAAAGATAGATAGTGTGTATATATATATATATATATATATAGAATATATATATATATATACAATATACATATATATATATATATGTACATGTGTGCTTTTATTTGTACATATATATATATATACATACGCATACATACAACGTTATGTCCATATTCTTCAATCGCTTCCTTGTTTGCAGGTATCGGTCAAGTGAAGTTAGCTACAGAGCGGCTGTGGCTCGGGCCATAGAGCTTGGTTTAGGGCCTAGGGGTTTGGGGTCCAGGGGTTTAGGGTTTAGGGTTAGGATTTAGGGTTTAGGTTTTAGGGTCCAGGGGTTTTGATATAGGGTTCAACTGCTCGGGCCCCGTTTCAACCCCAATTCCCGGCCGTAAACCCTAAGCCAGACCTTAAACTACCAAAACTAGCTTTTGCTTTTAATCGGGTCCCTACGAAATCTGCATGAGGGCTTGTCCTAACAACCCGCAACAAAGGAAGCTATGGTAGCTCAAGGTACTACAAACTCCAAAACAAGAGGGTCCTTTCATCAGGACTCCCATTCTTTATGGTTCATCTCTGGGCCCCTCGTAGTGTGAAGCTCCGAAACCTAAAACCACTCAGCTCAATGCAAGCATCGCACACTAATGGCACAAGTCCCCGCATGATACCAGCAACTTTTCAGAGCACAGTGCTTGGGACCTAAAACCATGCAACTTGTGTACGTGCATGGTCCAATTAAGCCAAACTCCATCTGAAAACTTAGAAGCACTCACTCTTTAGCCACAAAGCCTTAGTATAGGAGTCTTAACTGAATAATTAGAACAAGGCTTTGGGGTCTTTAACTACTGCAATTATCAACCGTGATTATAAGGGGGTAGTGGTACTTATTCTGACCCCTATATAAAGCTCTGGCTCTGTACCCGATATCCGAGTTCTCAAGCCCTACGCAAACCCTCGGTCGTAGGCCCCCTGGCCACCAGACGACCCCGGTCGTGAGTATTTTGGCCTGCCGACTGAACTTGCGGTCCTTAATAATTAGAATAGGGTTTTGGGGCCCATTATACTATAATTATAATAAGGAACCCCCAAAATAATGTGGGTAATTATTTAGGCCCCTATACTAAGAGTTATGACCTAAAAACTACCAGTACCTTCCATAGGGTCCAGGTATACCGCTGTAGTGTCGGATCTCTTGGTTTTGGCCTTCCGGGGCTTACAACCCTAAACCCTGGCGGCCCTAAACCCCATACGGCTTAGGGTTTAGGGTTTACCCTAAACCCCTAAACCCTAAGCCCCAAAACCGGAGAGGCTTTGGGTGAGAAGGGCTCGGCGTCCGTAACGACGAAGTAACTATGGTGGTAGCGTGGCTCTCTATAAAACTGCAGCGACATTCTTCAGGATAGAGGTTAGGGTTTAGGGAGCTTAGGGCTCTTAGGGGTCCTTATGCTGAAGGATCCTCCTTGAATTCGGGTTTTCTGTTTCCTATGCCAGCAACTGAAAGCATAGTTCGACGTACTCACACAACCCCACGCATATCCCTAAACTCAGACACCCCCAAACCCTAAAGCATAATCCCGAAGTCGGGGCAAGGGGATGATCGGTCGCATGTGATGTTGATTGTGCCTCCTTGTACCGCTCTGGGCCGTTTGTTTGTGTCAGCCGGCTTCGGCATTGACACCCGGATTTCAGAACCACTTCCCTAAGGGTCCAAATGCCCAATAATCATATACTCTTCTGAATGCTAACCTACAAGACTACTCTCCGTAAGGCAAGTACATGATTATTAGGTCCCTTGGACCCTTGCGGCTGGCGTCTAAACCCTAAACCCGAAACCGCTCAGGTGTTCAGACTCATCGGACCAACCTACATTTCTTCAGGCTAGTATACCCACAGGGTCCTCAGGAGGGACTCACAACACCCTACTTTCTGCTACATACGTACTTCAGACCCTGTGAAAATGCAATACCCAGCGGAAAGCAACCCTGAAGTCTAACCCTAAACCCAATCAGTCCAACAAAACCTGAGCCCTATAGCTTATAAATTCCACACCGGCTGTCCGCATAGATCCTTCATAATTAGTAACCCCTACAAGAAGCTGCTCAAGAAACCTGTTGAAGAAACCCAACACCGTTAATGCTGAGAGAGCCAACCACGGTCTGTGTCGTCACGACCGTTGGTGACCTGACATGTTGAAACTCAAACCCTAAACCCCTCATTGCTATGCTAAAACCCCTCAACCCTAAACCTCTCAACCCCGAACCCTGAGCCCCTCAATCCTAAACCCCTCAACCCAAAACCCCTCAAACCTAAACCCCTTAACCCTACGCCTTGGAGACGGTGCGGACGGTAAAGGGAGGAAGGGATAGGGTTCGGGGCCCATAGAGGGGCTTTGTGAAGGGATTTAGGGTTTAGGGGTTGAGGTCTTAGGGGTTCTGTGAGCGAGTCCAAGGGTTGAAGGTTTAGGGTTTAGGGTTGAGGGTTTAGGGTTAAGGGGGTCTAGGGGTTAGGGTTTGGGGTTTAGTGTTTAGGGTTTAGGGTTTAGGAGTCGGCATTTAAAGCTTATTGTTTATGGTATAGGGTTTGGGACTTAGGCAGGAGGGTAAGTGTGATTGGTAGCGAAGAGAGTCGGTATGTGTGCTACCGTTTTGGAACCAGGCCTTTTCAGAGACCGTCCTTACTATGGGATGCGGGACCTGACTTCATTATGGTGGTAAATCTGCATCCTTCCGGGAACAGTAACACTGGCTTTCGCACAGCTTTCATGCATATAGTCTGCACCAAAAGGGCGATTCGGATCATCGGACTTTGATTGGCACTGTTTTCTGTGGCTCACTTATGACGACAGCTTTTTTCTGTACGGCCGAATCTGTCGAATGTATGATTGAAACCCTTAACCCGGGATGTGGCGTACTATCGTGTATTTGGCAAGGACTGACCAGGAGCAGTGCCACTGAAAAGCACGGGACACTGAAGTTGCCCTAAACCCTAAACCCGAAACTGCCCTAAACCCTAAACTGCCCTAAACCCTAAACCCTAAACTGCCCTAAACCCTGAACCCTAAGCTGCCCAAAACCCTAAACTGCCCTAAACCCTAAATGCTAAACTGCCCTAAGCCCTAAACCCCAAGCCCTAAACCCCCAACTGCTCTAAGCCCTAAACCCCAAGCCCTACACCCCCAACTGCTCTAAACCCTTATTCGGGGCCCTGGCTTTCCCCTGTTTTTGAGTGCCGGCCGTGCCGGTCTTCTGTACATTGGCTCCCCAAAGGATCCTCAGTGCCTCGGGTCCCTTTTTGGGGGGTCTCCTTAAAAGGGATCTTAAAGGCTTTGCGTTTAGGGTTTAGGGTTTAAGGTTTAGGGTTTCAGAAGGCTTTCTTTAGGTTTTCTTATAAAGGTACCATGATAATAAGGGTTCTATATGGGCAATTCTCTAGATTAGGCTCCCTTTTGGGGTCCCAAATATAGTGCGGCACCCTTATAAACAGGACCCTAAAAAAGGACCCTGATTCAGAGAACTACCCATACGGGAGATACTTACCCAAACCATCGTGGTAATTCCTTCTACTATAGAAACCGTACTTTCCACTATGTAGGTACTTAGGACTCTTTGGGATCGACAGCTGGGCGAATCCACGAAGCCTGAAAGCATTCCTTCCATTTGGAGTTGGATGCTATTCAAGCTGCTATTCTCTGCTTGGGGTCCTATGCCAAGGCTAGAGACCCTAGCCGTTTAGGTTTAGGGTTTAGGGTTTAGGGTTTAGGGTTTTAGGGCTTTAGGGTTTAGGGTGTAGCCCAAAACCCTAAACCCTTCTAGTAGAGTCTAGATCACTTTGAAGGAGAGATCATCCTTTGAAGCGATATAAGGATCGACCCCAAACGCCGGAGGCAAAGAAGGAACGAGACTTTTGAGGGGTCTCTCTACCCATAGGCCCTAAAGTAGTTCCTTTTGGGGGTTCATATATAGAATCCTATAAGGTAACCCCAAACAGGAACTACTATGGGGCCTATGGGTAGGCTGTACACAAGCGGAGGCCATGGATGCAAAGCAACATGGGACTGGCGCTTGGCAACGACGCGATTCAGATCTGTTTCGGGCCATTGGCGTTGTTGGTGCTGCTACTAGTGCGTTAGGGTTGGTGTTGGTCTGGGTACTGGGGAGCTGGTGCTGGTGGTGGCGGCGGCGGTGGCGGTGTCAAGGCTTCCGCCACTACTTTTGCTGCTGGTGGTGTTCTGGTTGCTGCTTCTGCTGTTTGTTGCTGCTTCTGCTTGTGTAGTGTAGACGGGTGTCGTTGTTGCTCCCAATCTGGTTCTCACATGTTCGTCCTTGCAAAGTGATATCCCATGGAGTATTCTTCAAGATTCCGAAGGTCTTCGGTAGGGAACTTCGTTGCTGCCCTGACCTCCTGGACGGACGTTAACTGTACAAGCTGAGGTAAGGCCCAGTTACCTATACATCCGTTGATTGTACTGTAGTCACATAGGGAGTAAAGTCAGGCTGGACTATGGCTGCTTAGCGGTTACATAGTGTCATAGCGGTTTATCACGCTGGCTCCTGTATGGGTAGCTGGCCTTGGTACACTCTCCCAGTTCAAGTGCTAACCCACATAACTACATAACTATTGGGTCCCATGGGGGCTCTTCTGATGAGCTAGAAAAGGTGAGTGCTCTCATTGCTGCAAGAGGGCAAGCACGTCCTGCCAGCCCGACAACTTCTCCATGCGTGGTATCCAGAACACCGGAGACCGTCCAAGAAAGTCGTGGCTGCCCTGAGGGTCCCTAAACCCTAAACCCATGAGCCCCCAAACCTTGACCCATAAACCTACAATTATAAACCCTAAACCCTGAATCTAGTCTAAATAAGCCAAGTGCCAGTTTCTCTGTAGCACCATCAGGGAACTGCAAGGAATAATGCTTCAGTTATTCGGATGTCACTTGAACCTGTCTTAACTAAACCCTAAACCCTCAACCCTGCTGCGCCTGAGGATTCTGCATGAACAGAAGCGGACGCACTCTTGGAAGTGATAGCATCGGTCGGAGGACGTCGATGCGATCGTCGACGAAGCCATCCAGATCCAACTTTGCCACTATTGGTGCCTTCTCCTTCACATCGCGACAGAAGTGCACATTCTTCCGTTGAATGCCCGTCCGCTCAAAGAAGCCCGAATGCTCCATCCACTCTCGTGTCCTCGCCTCTGTTTCAGGCCCACATTTGGAGATAATGTATACGTTCCTGGGCTCTTGCTCAGGAGCTTTCTTTAAGTTCCCATAGTAGAAATTGAGTTCCTTAATCCCCTAAACCCTAAACCCTAAACCCTGTTACTTCTCCTTTTTTCTAACAAGAGCCCAGGTTCTCCCTTCCGAGGCTGCCCACTACGACTGAGAGGGACACCAGAGCTTCCGGGGCAGCCTCGACTTGCAGGTAGTCCTCCCGAGTGAGACCCGCGCTGTCCTCCTCCGCATCCTCCCGGTCTTCCCGGTGCGGAACGATGACCCCTCCGATGTCGAAGCCAATACGTCCGATGCGGGCTTTTTGCTGAATCCCTGACTCTGTGGAATTATCGAAACAAGCCGGACATGCTTCCATGCCGGCAGCCACTTCGGCACACCAGGTGTGCATGATGTGGCTGCGAAGCATCTCGCCGCTCTCTGGATCCGCTGCAAGCTGGCAAAGCGCTCGATGGCGATGGATGTCCACAACTGCGGCAGCCTTCGCCCCATATCCCAATTCCTAAGTTGTGGGGTAGGGTTTAGGGTTTAGGGGGTAGGGTTTAGGGTTTAGGGTTTAGGGTTTAGGGTTTAGGGTTTAGGGTTTAGGGTTTAGGGTTTATAGGGTTCAAGACAAAGCATCAATGGCTTGGAAGTTGGACTGCTTCAAAAGAATTAGCTCCTGCATGAAGACCCCCAAAACGCAATTAGCTAGGATAATTACAAGACAAAATAACTCAAGCACGGTAGAGCTCCTACGCCAGGCTTCTTCATGACAAACTGCACACAGCAGATCCTCCTCGCCAGCGACACACTGGCTCTCAAAGGTGAGGAAACCAGCTCCCTGCCCCACGAAAGCACCGAGGTCGACACGGCCATCGATCTTTGCCATATCTCTGATCGAAAGTATCTGACGGGAATGAACGAACGAAGGGTTCAACCTCCCAGAAGGTAACCATCATCGTGTTGTCCTTGTAGCTTGGGTTGCGAAGCAAACCCATGTTTGGGCCTTTGCACATGTCCTCTGCTACCGTGCACCTGGAGCAATCGTTGCTGCAGGCAGTTTTGCCAGCATAAAAACCCTAAACCCTAACCCTAAACCCTAAACCCTGAACCCTAAAGCCCCAAACCCTAAACCCTAAACCCTAAAGCCCCAAACTGTAGGGTCGCAACACCCAAATCGGGCCGTTGTCGGTTCTGGGTTCAGGGCTTACCCCTGAATCCCCAGACAGTACCCATAGACCGTACACCCTAAACTCGGCCGTAAGCCCTCATTACCAGTAAAACCGTAGAGCGGTAAGGCCAAGCTATAATGGTTCCCTTAAGGAACAGGTCCCAAAACAAGTATTCAAGTATGGTACTCCACAACCCAGATCTTGAGCTGAGACCATCTCTACTGTGCACCTCTCTGCGTTCTTCTCAGCGTTTTAGCTGAAGGTTGGGGGAACTTCGGGGCTGGGAGCCACAGAGAACAAGATCAATAGGTGCGACTGCTCGGTTTAGGGTTTAGGGTCTAGGGTGGTTTAGGGGGGTTTAAGGGGGTTTAGGGGGGTTTGGGGTTTAGGGTTTAGGGCTGAAGTGCAGTGTGCTCGCCGCTTTTTATCAACTCTGCAGCATCAGGTGGAGGGTCCTTGGGCGTGGTGGGAAAGAAGCAGCTGTGTCGTCAGATGTCGCCCGTTCGCCGAGAATCCTTAAACCTGCTGCCTACAGGCTATCCACGGCATGTCAGCTGTGCGGATGGTTTACCTTCAACCCTAAACCCTGATCACTTTGAGGACAAAAGAGCTACAGTGACATCATTGCCAACTTGCCAACCACATGCTCTCTCGCTCTCTCTGTCTCTCCCGCTCTCTCGCTCTCTCTCTCAAGGCTAACCCCTACGCGCTGAACTCGACACATTTAGTTAAGCGCGTCGGGCGCGCCAGTTCATTGATGATGCCGGTGCGCAGAATTGCATCAGATAGCTTCGCGGAATCCAGCCCAAGGGCCGTCTCGCAATCCGCAAAATCTGAAACCCTAAAATTGAAACACAAGTTCAGGGTCCAGGGGATAGGGTTTATTAAACCTTAAAGCCCAATTTCGGAAAATGGATATATGGAATGCCCAGACCTTCCAAAACTTCCAAAATCCCTTAAAGAAGGAACATACTTCTTTAAATCATCTTTGAGGTATTTAAAGGATTTTGGGCATCTGGGTATATAATTGAGTCGATCAAGAGCGGTCAATAAGTGTAGTCTCTGTCTAATACATGATCTATGCCTATCCAAAGCCCTATTCCAAGTAGAACGGCCACCATATTCAAACCCCTAGAACCTGAAACCCCCAAATTCGAGAACACTTGCAAATTTGCAAACGCTTAGCAGATCCTCGAAGGAACCCAGTATATTGCTCTCGGCCTGTACTAGGACCTGCTCTGTGGCTGGATCCATATGCTGGTTGTTCAGCATGTCCAGGTTGTTGTTCAGCCTGGGCATGCAGGTTTAAGGTTGTTGAGTTAAGCTGTGTTGGCTCTTCTTTGATCTGCAGGGTTTAGGGTCTACCCTCAACCCCTAAGCCTAAGCCCTAGATCAGACATTGGGGTGTCCAGGTTGTTGTTCAGCCTGGACATATGTAGAATTTATCCAACTGCTCTCCGAACTTCCTCGCCAGCCTACACCTTCAATTTAAGGGCTTTAGGAGGGACCCTTAATAGGGACCCTTGTAGGTTATTAGGGTTAATATGGAGACTACCTGGCTATATAAGGGGTTTATAAGGACTATACAACGGTTATTTACGGTAATGGGACTAAGGGTCCCTATTAGGGGTCCCTCCTAAAGTCCTTAGATTCAAACCTGAAAAACCGACCCTTGCTCCTCAGCCAAAGACACAACACAGCTTCTTTGCGGCTTGTCTCCAAGACATCCCCAAAAAACATGCAGGTCCAGCGAGGAGCACACCCGCAACAAGCTGAAACTTCCCAAGAGGGTCCATACCTCCTACTATTATGGAATGAGGTCGCCAAAATCACAACCGGGACCAGGATGGTCTATTGGGGCAACATTTCATAGTTATAGTACATGGACCCTCTGGGCGTGTACATAATAATCTTCCCTGAGCCCTAAACACCTCAATGACTCTGCTCATTACGAGCCCTTTCCCCTCAACTTCAAACCTAAACTTAAACCCTTAGAGGAGCCCATCAAACACAAAACTACACCTCGCCCCTGGAATAGGATTCCCAGTAGCTTAGGCAGCCAAAGGGCTCTACCTTGTTGGAATTGGGTAGCGTGATAAGGAAACCAGAAACCCCTAACCCCTCAACCCCCTACGTGGAGGCCCCGGGGGACTTCCTAAATCGCTTGGAAGTGGGGGGTTAGAATTGGAGTAACTCCATTTAGGGTTGGGGTTTAGGCAACGGTTTAGGGTTTAGGGTTTAGGGTTTAGGGTTTAGGGTTTAGGGACCTACTTCTGGGCCTCTCAGTAACCCCTAAGCCCTATAAACTCAAACCCCACAGGCCGAGGCTTGCACGAGTAAAGCACGGAGGGAAGGGCAAAGACCAGCCTAGGCTGCGAGTCGGTTGAGGGTTGAGTTAGGGTTTAGGGTTTAGGGTTTAGGGTTTAGGGTTTAGGGTTGAGGGTGAAGGGTTTAGGGTTTAGGGTTTAGGGTTTAGGGTTGAGGGTTTAGCGGTCTGGCGTTTAGGCTTATGTACAGGTTTAGTACTTAAGTTTAGGGGTTTAGTGATCAAGGTTTAGGGGCTTAGGGTTTAAGCTTCCTCTGAGGGATTTATGAAGGCTTATGATAGGGGTTTGAGATATCCGAGCTCAGGATTTGGGACTTGCTGTTTCGGTTTAGACTGGGGGCTTTGAATTTAAGTAACTCGGATAATATCCTAAACCCTAAACCCAATATCTGGTTAGGCTTTTTGAGGGGTCTAGGACGCGGCTCTACCAGCCCGAGCCTAAAACGCTCTAAAGCCTAAAGCCGGGAGACCAGTATTAGGGTTTAGGCCGAATATTGACCTACATAACTACTATCCTGGGCCCTAAGCCGTTGGGCGGTTGACCGCTGAAGCCGGAGCAGGTGGCACAGGGCATCTTGCGCTCTTTGCGGGCAGGGGGCGGGAGCGGCTGATAAAACGACAGAAGCCTCGTAGAACCCTGGAACAAAAGCTGTTGAAGATACCCTAAACCCCTAAACCCTGAACAGGCTTTGGCCTAAAAGTAATCCTACATGGGCTTAGGGTTTAGGGCACCTTGGGGCCAAAGTATCTATCTTCATACACTATTTGGGCACATGAACCCTTCGGGGGAACCCCTAAAGTCGCAGAGAAAGCCTAATGTAGGGGCCTCCATGACTAGAACAGGGTTTAGGGGCCTGAGTAATTAGAATATAAGGTTTTGGGGTAGACTGTGCTATATTTATGATAAGGACCCCCCCCCCCAAACAAAATAGTATAGGTAATTATTTAGGCTTCTGTAGTAGGAGGGGTTTTGCGACCCCAAGAAAGAAGACCACCAAACTTCCTGTGCTGCCGCGCCCCACGCAACAAGAAACTGCACGTCAAATACCAAGGCAAAGAAACCTAAATAGGCTCGGGATTTAAGCTTTGGGACTCATCTTCTCCTAAACCCTGAATCCTGAAACCTAAACCCTAAACTTTATATACATCCTAACCCTCAACCCAAACCCCAAACTGTACGTAGCCCCACACGCTCTATACTCTACTAATTGTTCCTGTACCTCAGCGCACTCTAAGTTCCTCAGTGTGCTATACTTCACACAGCACTCCAGGACTTCTAAATCCTAAACCTCCATGCGATACATTTAGTCTTACTTCCCCAATAAGCGAGGAAAATAAAAGGTTAAACTTTCAGATTGCTACTAAACTATAAGAGCCTAAAAAGTTTAAAGGTTGAGTATTGGTGAGCTGAGTAGTTTGGGATGGTGCTTCACGCAAGATTCAAGGCAACGGTGCCTTACACGTTCCTCCCGGCTATGGGGCTCGAAAAGGAGCGGGTTCAGGAACTACGACTTCTGTTTGGACAGTCTTTGAATCTCGGGAGCTGATGGGCAATGCAGGGGATTCCAAAAGGGGTTGTGAGGGATACTAAGTAGAATCACTATGTCAGATTCAGGATTGCGCAGGTTTGCATAATAGTATATGTTGACACTAAGATACATATATTGCGACTCTTGTGTTTCGGTTTGAGGGTTTAGGTTTTAGGGTTTAAGGTTACGGGTTTATGCTTTGGGGTTTACCCCAGCTCAAGCACATCTGAAACAGGACAAAACCTGCAAAGTAAGGGAGGCCCTCAATCCTAAACCCCAAACCATGACGCTGTAAACCCCCAAGGCCCTGATAGCCCAAATCCCTAAGCCCTAAATTGAAACCCGGAAACCTGGACCTTAAATTTGAACCGGAATGTCCGAAATCCCGAAACCCCTGGTGGTGCTTCTGCAGGGGAGGAGCCACGACTTCACCGACGTCCCGGTCACATCGGACAATGCCTCACCGACCCAATGAGTTAAAATAGGTATGGGTAGGTTCGAGATTTCGGGGTTTTAGGGCTTAGGGGTCTAAGTGTTTACATAAGGGTTCTGGTCCAGGGCAAGTTTAGGGTTTGGGGTTCGGGGTTGGGGGTCTGGGGTTTAATCGTGTGAGGGTCTCTCTCCTTCGGGTTCCCTCGAACTTGAAGCCGCTATAGAAGGTCACTTGGGCTCATACCTTGAACAAGCGTGGAATACACAGATAAGGGTCCTAATTGTGAGAGTGCACGCTCTGTTGGAGATTCATGCATGGGGCCTTGGATGTACGGAAGCTGTACCTAAAGAAAAACACACGTTGCCCCAAGTCGCATTTCGCTCTGCAGACAACCTATGCAACAAAAAACAAGCAATATCAGCAAACTACGTTCTAAACATCTCTAAACCATCCTAAGACGGCTTGGGGCCTAAACTGGGATTTCTTTGTCAAGAGATACTTAGCAATAGACTAGGGTTTCAAACATGGCTTTCACATAGTGACTTGTATTTGGGTTTAGGGGTTAGGGGTTAGG